TTATTATAAAATATATATATTATAGACTTGCATTTCCCATAATAAAATAAAATATAAATGTTAAAATCGACGAATTAATAAATGATTATTCAGTATCAACCCAATTACTTGCAATTCTTCCAATTATTGGCACTTCATATCTATCCAAACTCTCTCCGTCCACATACGCTTTATGTCTAATATGTATAATATATAAAAATTAATATCAATAATAAATCTTATATATAAATATAAATTATTAAACTCACCCAAGATATCCGATTAATAATAATTCAATGATAAAAAGAATCCAACTTAGAAATGTGCTAATGAAAATTAGAATAAAGTGTAATAGCTACAAAATAAATAAATATATTAATTAAATAAATTATAATAATGATCTAATAAAAGATTTTAATAATAAAACCACTTACAAAAATAATTGAAAATAATAATGAAGACTTTTTTTTTTAAAAAAATTTGTTAATGCAGAATTAATTAATCAATTTAGAACTAACGTAAAATCCCAATCTATTATAAATAAATGACAACTACCTGCCATGCATGAAACCTAACATAATCATTTTTATGTTCAAAAATCAGGAAAAATACACCTTTAAAAATTTTATATGATCAAAATAATAAATCATAAGTTAATAAATGAATAAATCGATAATTAATGATAAATTTCACTTTACCTGTAACACAACCCAAGACATATGTTAATGCTGCTTCAATATCCACCCTTATTGGCATTGAAGTTTCATATTTATTTACTCTTATTGTATCTTCTGGTATTTGTTCAGTTGTTCTATAGATTCCTGCGAAAGGATTTGCTGAGGCACTTCTACTACTGCTACTACTGCTGCTACTGCTGCTACTGCCACTACTAACTGCACTAATTTTACTAACACCACTAATTCCTTTACCTCCTGCACTTTTACTACTTGTTCCAATTCCTCCAATTCCTCCACCGTTACCAGTACTGTCACCACCACTGGTTGAACCAGTTGGTATATGAGAGTATCTTATCGAAGATCGATTAGATTTTTGTTCATCTGGTGGTGGTGTACAAGGTGAAAACGATGCTGGATTCTGATACGACATTATTAATTATTTATTTTTGTATTGTGTGATCTATCTATCTATATATCAATGACCAGTTTTATAGTAGTACAAATGTAGATCTAATAGAAAACTAATTATAGGATTGGAACCGAAATTTTTCATACCCTTTTTTTAAAAAATTCGATAAGTTAGTCATTTATATAATAATAAAATTGCGGTGTTTTTTCAAATTTTTTGGTGATCAACATTAATAAAATTAGCCACAAACCTTAATTTTTATGCTCAGCAATCTCCACCAAATTTGACGCAATTTTATTCCTTTTTCTATATTAATATAAAAAAAAAATAGGGGACAGAATTATAATGAAAAAATTTCGAATTTACCACAGTGATTATATCGAAATTTTTTGATCAAAATATATTGTGCGACAATTACTTATTATTATTGGATGAGTTTATAATTCACTAATATTACTATTACTAGTTGTCGAGTCTGCTTATTATTAATAATGATGATAATAAATAATAAAATTTTTTTGCGATTAAAGAAAAGTTTCACAATCAAAAAAAAAAAAAAAATAATAAGAGAAATTCATCAATAAAATATGTCATTATCTCAAAATTGTATAATAAATATATTAATCGCAGCGTCGCACAGATCAACAGATAACTTTTTTAATTTATATCTTTCACTCTTCTCTCAATTGAATTTAATATGAAATGTTCTTTTATGATTTAAAGCTATACGTGATTTATTAATTAATATTTTTAATTAAATATTAGTGATAGGAAAATTACAAATAATCCAAAATCCTTTAAAAAATTAATTATTATAAAATATATATATTATAGACTTGCATTTCCCATAATAAAATAAAATATAAATGTTAAAATCGACGAATTAATAAATGATTATTCAGTATCAACCCAATTACTTGCAATTCTTCCAATTATTGGCACTTCATATCTATCCAAACTCTCTCCGTCCACATAC